TGTACTACTTATTACCTACTTAGCACATTCTACTTAAATATCAAAATATCTATTAAATATTATATCACATTGGCAGTTTTGTTATATTATCAACTTTTCAAGACAACTAACAAAACGAATTAAATTGGAACACTTTACTTTAGAAATTTTACATAGACACATAGTACATTTTTATTATTTTTAAATTTAAACCTCTGTGTATAAAAAATTAAACAAAATGTTTTTTAATCATTCTTCGATCTTGTCAAAAAAACATTTACCTAATCAGCAAAACAATAATGAAGTTCAACTTGGACAACACTTGAGGTACATTATTTTTATTAGTTATAATTCTTAAAGAGCTCAAAGTAATTCCCAAAATAAAAAATAGGCACATAGATTTTAAAAAATGTATATTATTTATTAATAACCAATAATGTCATATCTATCTTTAACCAATAATTAAAATAATATTAGCTAAATAATATAGGTATATAGAAAATTAAAATCGARTGCACCGTACAAAAGCATATAACATAATTTTAAAGTTATTGTGAAATCTGCACTCCTCTGCCATAGAAATTAATTKTTGTTAAATAACATTGAAATTTATTAAAATTTCGACAGTTTAAAGTTTTAAATAATTTTTGTTATTCCTTTAACCCAAAAAATGAGGCGGGAACCWTGAAGGGTATGTTTTCCTAATCCTAATTTTATGAGCTTTTCAGTGGTGTATTCAAAATTGTTGTAGGATCAAAGGTTCAGCAGATATGAACATTATTATGAATAAAACTTGTGTTCAATCAAAAAAACACAACATTTCAAATAYCTCYYTTATTATTGAKARCTCGATAATGGYCATAAGGACTTTTTTTGTTGCATCAGAGGTGTATGAGTACCTCTTAAGTTTGACACATTTATCGTGCAACAGCTTTTATATCGTAGCCATTATGGGCCATTAGCCAGTGTAATTACAATATTCAATAACACAATAGATATATAGGTAWCAGTAGTGCAGAAATGRGTTGTAATAAGAGCAGATAAATAATATTGTTATAAAAATGTTGTGGTTACTTAAATGTTATAAAAAAGATAAAACTAAATAAGTTTTCAATACAACTTGGTTTGTTAATTTTTGTTAAAAATAAATAGTCATTATTAATTATGGAACTAAAACATAATGTAGATCGCAAATAAGTCTCATTTATCCTAAGATTATAAACATTTTTTAGTGCTAAAGAAAAAGTGTTCTATTGGATACCGTAAAAATATAGGTGTGTCATTTGCGATGTTAGCAAGTTATGTATATATATATTTGGCTTCCACCAATACGCGCGTGAATCCGCGTCACTAAATATA